GGAGTCAATTTGCTCCGGCTTGAGGCTTCAAACATCTGGGTCTTTGGCTGATCTCTGGGCCGGGCTTGGAAGGGTATCAAGGTATCATGGGAACATGGGGCGGGGGGGGAGGGGGGGTTAATCAAAAGGTCCCTGCTACATGGGATGACAATTAGAAAACCACTAAGTAAATCAATCACATGGGAAAAAAGCTACACAGCTCATCACACTAGCTTGGCATGGATCGTTTGGAAGCGAACACAGAAGCCGAGTCGATTGCAGCCCAGGAGCAAGAACCAGCTCTCCTGGCAGTCACAAGCAAAGCATTTGTCTCCTGGAACCTAAGTGGATTCTCTCCTTTTGGTCAAGAAACGCCCACGCAGAAACCCACCAAGTCCCGTGTTCTTTACTGGAATCATGGCTTTGGAGCTCTGCTTCTACACTGAACGGGGGTGACTTTGATGATTCAAAAAAGGGGTTGCCCAGTTTTCTGGGCAACCCTTTGGATACAAACGCCTCCCCGGCCCTCCCTGGCCCCCCCTGGCCCCCTCTGCCCCCTCCCCCCCCCCCCCAGTCTTTCAACCAACCCTTCGGAGGAACCTGCAAAGCCCCGAGAGCCGAGAGCCCGAAGCTTCCCATGCCTTGGTGACGCCAGGCAGGCGCTGGCGCACCGCATAGGCGGGGAAGCGCAGCAACCGCGCCGGGCTCCTCTGCCGCGCTCTCCCTTTCCCGCGCATGCGCGCGCGAACGCGGTTTGTTTGTTCTGTGTTCCCCTTTTTGTTGCTATGTTCCTTCTCCTTTTTCCTTTGTTTCCCCCTTTTTTGTTTTTTCGTTTGTTTGTTCATTTGTGTTATGTTGCTTCTTTTGTTGTGATTTCTTTTGGATGGTTTTCTTCGCCGCCACGGGTGCCACCATTCTGCTCGAGCAGACGCTTAGGGTGTCTGAGGGCCGAAAATGCGATTGAGTGTCCTCGAAAACTTGTGCCGGTGCTCAAAACTTCCTTAGTTTCTGAATTGACCACTGCAGAATTAGTTCCTGGCAAATGAGAAATGCTAATCCCAATATGGGGTGCTTGATGACTGCCATCTTTCAGCAGGGAATGACCCACAGTTTTGGGAATGAACCTGGGGATTCCCTTAAAAGAAACCACAGGGGATGGTTTACAGGGAGTCATACTGCACAAACGGGTATACTTAGTCTAGTATACCGTGTTGAGCTGCGGACAAAAGAATACGAAGCTAAAACCCAGGGTGGTGCATTACCCCCAAAATTCAAAAGGACACCTGCGTTTAAGTCTATGTTGACAAAAGTAGAACCTTGCATACGTCAAAAATGGGTACCCAAAATGGAACCCTAGTAAATAGAACCATGGACTAAAACCTGCGATCCACGTTCTGGTGGTTTAATTTTGGCTCATACCCATATGACTTTGCCCCCACGAAAAGGAGACCTGATATATAGCCGCCGAGCCACGCGTCCCGCCAGACGAAGAGGAAGCCGTCGGTGGAGGAACTGGAGAGCAAGGCAAGGCGTAGGGGAAGCTTGGCATACGGCCATGGGTCAAAATCCAAAGCCTGTACCCCCAGTGAACATCCCAATCCAACCCCTAAAATGGGTCCTAAAATGGGTGGTGCACCGAAAACAACAAAATGGGATCCCATTGGTTTTGACAACCACAGCCATACCTCTTTGTTGCAACCTGTGCAACCTCTTCGTTCAACAAGAAACGTCCTAGATGTGGCCCCTTTCTTCTTGAACGGCCCTCGTAAAGCTTCTACCCGCTATGATCTATGACCAGAGTCACGACGGTATGACCCAAAAAAAAAAACGAACCTCCGCAACACACACACACACACAAAATGAAAAGTAACCCTCCCGCCGACTAGCATGGAGCCTGACGTACGGGAATCTCCCTTTCAAAGGAGAAAACGGTCCAAACCAGGACCAATCTCGCAAAACTCAGTTTCCATGTTAGTTGGTGAGAGGGTCAGCATCATATACTAGCTTAATGATTCCTATCAAGCGAACCCCAAAAAAACGAGCCCCTCCATTAAAAGGGAAAGCAATTCCTTCCCCCGGGCTCGCTGGAGAGCTGCCAGCCAGACCCACGAGAGACCCACGAGAGACCGCCTGAGCAGCAGCTCGGCGCCGTGCTCCAGGGCGATCACGGTCCCCCCGTGGCCATAGAGGCTCTGCACCTTCGACATCCGATGCGGCTCGCTCAAGCCACGGGGCAATTTTCGGCGGAGGTTCGGGGAACCAGTCAAACCGCCTCCGAAAACAACACAAATGGCGGCACTTGGGTGGTGGAACCTTGGAAATGGACACAAACCACCTGAAACCTTCGAAATTTCGCCAGGCAGGCCTTGGGTGGTGTACCCAGAAAACCAATCCAAAACCCAAACCACCAATTCAGGGTTATCTGAGTTCAGCTTCCTTCTACCGTCAAACCAAAACCAACCGCCGCTGGAACCTGCGAAAAGAAGAAGCAAAAGCAGCTGAGACAAACCACCTTCAAACCACCATGTTCCGCCAAAACAAAGCTCAAGATGGCGCCAGTTTGGAACAACTTCGAAATTCAGGTTCCCACTAGTTGGCGGTTTGGAGCCCGGTGGTTTAGTTTGCCATTTAGCACCTACAAAGACCAGGGTTCAAACCCCGAAAACCGCAAATCCAAACCACCAACTAGGGAGCACCTGAGAAATGTGTCTTCCCCAAACAAACTCAACTCAACATGGCGCCATACTGGCGCATGTCCAACTTGTCACACCCGTGTCACACAAAATGACCATATTTCCAGTCCAGAGCTCTCTTGGAGCAAACCCAGGACTGAAACCCAGGACGAGTTGGCAACAAGAAGGTAATGTTTAGGGCCCTGGAACCGGTAACCGGATATGTGGAGGAGTCTCGGAACCTGGCACAAAGGCATGTGGGTCGTATAATTAAGTTACAAGCTCAGCTTTCACATTGGCACGGCTATAGCCAACTTCTAGGGGCCCAACAACGACTGCAATGTCAAAGAACGATCCTTTCAGGAATTCAAGATGGGGAGCAAAGTCATCATTAAGTGGCTGACAACGCGAGTCAATACCCTTCCACACAACTCCACTGAGTCCCCCTGCCACAAAACAATCATGGAATCTGATGCGAATCCCCAAAAGTCTATACCAATGTCAGGTTTCGGCTTCGGTTCTGGGACACTGGAAACACCCCGGATATTGAGCCGGCCCCTGGTGAAAGAGTAGAAATGTTTCGCACCGGAGAACAAGAGGCCACTCCAGTTTTCGCTTCCCCTGGATCAGCTTTGTGGGGAAAACAGCCCGAACTAAAGGAACTCACCCTTTCGCAAACACACACACACACACACACACACACACACACACACACTTTTGCTTCGCAAATTAGAAAAAAGAACTTCGCCGGCGGGCCAAAGAGGTGGTGACGGAGGCCTGTTAAGAAGACCCCTTCATACCCGCAGCAGTTTTGGAGACCCCTCAGATGGATTTCAACAGCCTAGGAATGCCTTGGGTTGAGGCCCCTAGTGCTCCTGAGACTTGTCTTCGGTTACCAATTCTCTATGCTGGCGCTTGTAAAAAATGAGTCGTTCCTTCCAATCCGAATTCGCGTCGCTGGCTAAGGGCGTCCATTGCGGGGCCGGTTGCAGGCACCACTGGGCATTCCGGGCGCAGGGAATGCCCATCCGCGGGTCCGAGAGATCCCACCTGGGCAAAGAGCAAGGAAAAAGCGCTGGAAGACTTCGAGTCTTTCATTGAGATCCAAATGTTCACAGCCATTTCTTCATGTTGGATGTTTGTTTTTATCCATGTTTGGAGCTTCGTGTAAGAAGATGTCCCTCATTTTTGAGGAGGTCCCCCCACAGAAGTTCAGACTCAGCTTTGTGCAAAGCGGTTGGAAGCCTGGGGTGAAGGACAGGATACTCTTCTGCTTGCTGGATGGTCAACCCAATGGGTATCGAAACAACCTTTTATCCGATTCCATGTCTCAGCTGCGACATAACCCAAAAAAAACACAGAACATCAAGCGACGGAAAAAAGTCCAACAGGTCCAGATTCGGACACCTTTCCTCGACAGGTTCGCAAAAACCTCGTCCGCGGAAACCACCAATCACTGCCAGTTTCTGCCGCGAAGATCTGCAGCCGGCCACCGATTCTTCAGACGGGATGTGGTTTTTTGGTGGGACGCATTAAAAGCCACACGGTGCCCCATGAGCATGACATAAATGGCATAATATGAAGTTTATTTTTCCGCAATCTGATCTTTCATGTGTGTAAGAGTTTCTCCAACCACATGATTGGTCAGGTTCCTGTGCGTAGGAGTTGCTTGGCCGGGTTGAAACACATGCGCCGGAAAATGTGTCAACCAGACCCTGGCGCGCTTTGCTGGAAAACTCAACAGAGTTGTTTACACAAGTTAGTGCCCTGACAAAAGAAAAAACAGAGCACTCGGCTGAAGCACGACACGTCAAAAAGCCTGAAACAAGGGTGTCTTTTTGTGAGGGACCCAGTATTGAAGGGGAACCAAAAACAAAACCGCCATATTGTGGGCGGGGGGGGAGGGGGGTCCCTAAAACCACACCAAATGGACCCGGTAGTAGGGCAGCTGGCTTTGCAAAGGAACGCGCCCTGAGGCCAAGTATGGGAGCAAGCGCACCGTCACGCTGTGGCAGAATGCCACCTGAGCTAGGTGCTATATTGGGGAAATCATGTGCGGTCAATCCTGAAGGAACCTTCGAGTGACCAGAGCGCTCGAGAATTCTGGACCAAAAAATCCCCCCGCTGCCCGAAGAAGCCCTGTCGACGTCGCGCGCAAAACCGGTGGACTCGGGCCGGGCTTCCGGGCATCTTGATGCATCTGTCCTTGGTCTCGCTTTCAGGTTGGGCTGTGGGAAATGGAATCCACCTCTGTGATACAACAAAAAGGGCTTCCCAGACACTAACCCTTGTATAGAAAACAAAGTTTCCCTTGTATCGCAGAAGTGGGGGATAAACCCCTTGATCCCACAACCCAGGGTTGGGCTAAACAAGCAAACACGAGATCAAAGCACTCCAAACACCTGTCCGGCAAAAGCGGAAACACGCTTCTAGCCGGACCTCTCCTTTCAGTGCACTCCTTTTGACCGATAAAACGTTTTGAAAGCCAACCCACGGAAACTGACACTGAGAGAAAAGCAGCCAGATTTATCCAGTCGAGCCGCAGGAACAAACCTGTCTCAGGACAGTCGATCCTCAATCATTTTGAAACTGGAAATCGGGAGAAATCCCACGGCACAACCTTGAAATGGGGTTCCAGCAATCCCCTGTCCAATGGAGGGTCCAGCCCCAAGAAAAGGCGGAAACTCCCTGAGGAGCCTTTGTCACGTAGCCGCAAATCCTCAGTCGGTGAGGTCGCTATTGTTTGCCACAAGCAATTCCGGCTCGGTCTAAAAAGCCATGTTAAATTTCCACCAAAGAAGGGGTCGACAGAAGGACAACCCTGTACCCCAACCGGTTGTCTCGAAAACAAGGGGATCCTCGCAGAAGGCTGGGGTAAAGGCTCCAGGGACAAGACTCCGGTCGAATTGCCAAACCCATAGCCTCCATATGGACCCCACACCACCAAAGAAACCCTGGAATGATGATTCCCCTGGAAATACCAACAAACCGTGGTTTCCCATGGTTTCTTGGGTGGTGTAGGATTTCGTCCATCCA